CTCAGAAAAACCTTGAAGCGACCTGGCAAACTACCTCGCCACCCCTTGCACGCTGGTAGTAATCCGATCCGGTGAAGTTTGTAACTGTCCTGGAGGTTTATTTTCTGAAACGGAGGAATCGCCTCGCAAAAAGCACAAAAGCCGGCACAACTCGAGGTCGAGGAGCGTTCTACCATACAAGTGGCGTCGGAAGAGGAAAAACGGGGGGAAAGAGAGTAGCGGGGGGAAGGGGGGCTTCAGCCTCTTTCTCCCCCTTGCAGGTATTTCGGACTGTTAAAGAAAACAATACGGGGAAAGACGGCGTGGTCGAGCTTATTTTAATCTGAAATTATTTATGCATATTTATAGCTACTGTCGCTCTTCACTGCATAAAAGGTTGCGTAGATGGTCATTATTAGAAACTCGTTGTCAGAAGGCACTACTCGTCACATGCTCAGTGGTTCGGAAGTTCAAAGCTGTCTTTTCGACCTAAATACCTGTGCCGATAGTAAGAAAAAAAAAAAGAATAAATGCGGAAATAAAAAGCAGGAGGAAAAAAAACTATCAAGAATTCGTCAGAAGTGTTCTATTCTTGCATATTCAGAGATTCAGAACTTCGAAACAAGTTTCTTTTACCAAAATGCGTACAGGCTAAAAGAAACACGTCCCAGGAACGTGAAGTGAAAAAAAAAAAGCTTTCTTTTAATGACGTGCTGAACTTGAACACTATTAGAAATCTTCTCCCATGAGTTAATTTATTCCTTAACGTGAAAAAACAATAAATATATTCTTTTGTATTGTGCAGATAGCAATGATATGTACTGTCTGTGGTGTTAATTTAAATGCGATACCTCAAACAACTTAGACGAAAATAAATATCAAGTTTAGGTCATAATTGCATGCAGATACATGTTTGGACATTTCTTCGAAACTCACGTTGAATAACAATAATCATATCTTAAGACGGCACTTACTTAGGCTATACATAGATCATTCTTAAAAAAAGTGTAACATATCTACCATAAATAGCTCCGGCTGCAGCGTGCTTCAAATCTGGCACAAACGATAATCGTCAAAAACCCGTCGTCCTTCCTCGCCCCTTCGGGGATTTATTTCTTTAAACCTAAGCATGCCAGAACATTGAAATAAACGACATTGTTTTTCGTAAGGAACGCAGCACCGCGTGTAAAAGTTCGAGAAAAAAAAATTACGAATGTACCCCACTACTTGAAATCAAATGAAACCGTCCGCCGGTCTTTCGAAGTTCGACGAACGTCGAACTTTTACCCTAAAAGTTCGAAGTTCGTCGAACTTCTGACTCTTCAGAATTCGAAAGTTCGAAACTTTTCGAATTCTCTTGATAAATAAGTTCGAAAGTTCGAAATTCATCGATTTTTTGGTCAGTCAAGTTCGAAAGTTCGACAAGCATCGAACCTTGCAGCGCAATAAGTCGAAAGTTCGAAAAATATCGAATTTTTTAGCGTAATAAGTTTGACGGTTCGAAAAGCGTCGAACTTCTTAGCCTAACAAGTTCGAAAATTCGACCTCCGTCGAATTTTACGATATAGACAATTCGAAAAATCGAAATCTTTCGAACCTTTCGAACCGCTTGATTCGATCATCGAAACTTCGATTCGAAAAAAGTTCGCGGCATCCCTAGTTAAAACTTAAAATTTTTTAGGACGAGGGAACACACTGGCATTCTGGCGCCATCTATGCGGTGATCCTGGAACTGCGTTTACAAGAGCAAAGGCTTTGCGGGATTTCCAAGGTCAAATGTGCGTAAGACCTATAAGAACGGCTCGTTTATAACGTCGACAAAGTTTTTCGAGCCAAGAAAGAAAAAATAATGCGAGACAGAAATAGAAAACATGCCGGACCGCCAAGTTCACACTTGTACCGAATGGATGGCACCAGTGTGTCCTCTCGTTGTAGTAGATATTAAGAGGTTCTAAGACACCCGATTTTAAGAGGCCACAAGAGTGTGGACGGGCCTTTAGCCTTAATCGGCTAGACGGACAATGCCCGTGGCTGCATTCCGTCGCGTCTGGTTTCTTCTGCCTAAGGGACCGTAACCTTGGTCCGCTAAGTGGACGACGCATGAGCCCGTGGCTGCATTCCGAGGCCCCTGCTTTCCTTGAAAAGAAAACAATACTCGACCCTGACCTCCAGCGCCATGTGTTGTGTACGCGTCTACTGTGAATCACTCTAGGTTCATGGGGGCGCCGGTACCAGAGCGGCGAGAAACTGCCGTCTGGATGACTTCCATACTCCAGCGCCAGCATTCCGACTCTTAAGAAAACTTGGATGAAGTCGCATCCCAGTATTCGGGATATAAAGGCCCGCCCACCGCACTCTCAAGGTACTCTCCGATTTTCACGATATCATGTAAATGAACGGTTTCAAGTAGACGCCCTGAATCTCAACCGTTGTTAACGTTTTAATGGGCCGGCACTAGGTTCAAGCGGAACACCAGCCCCTAGTCTACCCCTTATAAATAAAAAGAAACAAGAAACGAGGAACTGAACTATGCACTTTCGCAATGCACACATTTATACACAAAAATCATACCTAAAAAAAAATCTTCACGCGTTAAGTGGATTTGAAGTTCCGCCACCGATACGTCGGTATCGCCAGGTCAGCGTCTTTCACAGTTCGTCCCCGAAACGCGTAGAGTAAAACATTTTTTTAAATATTTTTTCATGTGCACTACTTTAGTACCTTTCCCAGCTTTGTACGCTATGTATGAAACGTTGTATAGTGAAAATCTAGGAGGCAGTAGGCGAGTTCTACCGCACAGTTCTGATGTTGGGCCGAGACCTAAACAAATTGCAAAAAATTGGATTTGTAAGCTATCACTAATCAAGGCAGGAGTGACAGGCGGTACGCTACAAACACCCCGACATCATTCATACAGCAATATTTAAACGGATGGCCGTATTTATGGAAAAAAGGGAGCAATTCAACGAGGCTGACGGGACATACTCGCGTCACAATTCTTCATTCCCTCTCCTCTTCGCTAAGTTGCCTTGAGAAAGTGAACCGAAGCGAGGAGAAAAGTGAGGCCGCTTCTCATTCTAAGCTGTTCTGTGAGAATTGTGCCGCTCTTTGTCCAAATTACAGCCATCCGTCTGCAAGTGCTGCTGCGGGACGATTATTTCAGACACGAGCCTAATGTACTGCATTTTGGACAAGATGCTTGAAAAAAAGTGCAATTAGTCAATACGTAATAATAATAAAAAAAAATTCACTTAAAAAAAGACATATCTGGAAACTTATAATTTTACATATCAGCCAGCTACTCAGGGGTGCAAGCGGGCTAGAGCCTTTTGTAGCAGGGCTGGGAGCAGCAAAAGTCCCACTTTGGCACAGTTTGGGAGCAGTAAAAGGCTCGCTTTAGAGCAGCTCAGGAGCAGCAAAAGTTTTGTAGCCGTAGAAGTCGGTTTTGGAGCAGGTCACGGAGGTCAAACAGGTGTCTAAAAGGGATTTGTTGTTGCTAAATGAAAAATGTAGCAAAAATATATGCATGCACATCCTAGAATAATTTTCAAGCAACATACATACATACATTTCTATTGCATTGAAATATGTAATATTGGCAATTTATGCAAAGGTAAGGCTTTGAGAACCATTCCGGCAGCAGGTAGGGTCATGATAGACTTTATATGGGAGGCCCCGACAATAAAAGCACAACTTGAGCCCCGCCAGTACAAAACCGTCTATTTAATAGACCAATTGTAAACATCTATCCAGAGAACTAAACAACTGCAAGGTGTCAGATAAACTACCTTCGCTGACTACAGTTTTTGTTTATTAAAGAATACACATGTTAAATCACTGCTTAAAAAGCCCCATATCAAGTTTAGTAACAAAATACAAGGTTACTGACATTTGACAAAAATTCAGATGCAAAATAAAATGTGTATTTTATATCTTTAGAATACCACAGTCACTCGTACATATGCAGCTTTAAGCATCGACTTGAAGAGCAACGCAACCTTATGTACTCCATAAAATGTTGTGCATGGCGTGTCTTCATAAAAAAAAATTAAGGTACTACAGCATGTTTCAAAATAAAGCAGTCATTGCTGACCTGTTTTCATTAAATACAAATGTTCTTAATCCCTGTTCATAAAATAAAGTAATCCCTACACCCAAGTTAACATACAAAGCTATATCTATATTACTTTAGATGGAAAAATACATTGTCTGAAAAATATCACAGCCACTAATACATATGCAGCATAAGCACTGACTAGACGAGCCCACAGGCTTCCATGTTCAAAAAAAAAAGGTTGTGACTAAGCTGAATCTGTGTACATTAGAAACAACTGAAGTTCACCTTTATTCACAGTTTGAAGAGCAGAGTCAATTTCTTTTATGCGCTCGAGTCCTTTGGGCAGTTAAGAGTTTACATCACTTAGCAGAGGTGTCCACTCCCCACCTTGTCCATGTCCTTATCTGCCACAACCTAGCTTATAAGTTCTTGTGCACTCTGTAGAAGTGCTTTAAGAGAAGACAGGCGGCACTGGAGCCCGGACTTCTAATCTGTGAGTTTCTTCGTCTCAGAGACTTCACCTGAGGCTTCGTCATGTCTCCGTTTGAGGGATCGTGATGCTTCTTTTTTGTCTATTCGTTGCCGGTATCTCTTGTACGAATTTTCCACACCTCTCAAAAGCTCTTTAGTAAGTGGCACCTTGGTGGGATCTTCGCTGTATCTCTTCATGTACGACTTTGTTTGACGAAGGCTTGAGATGCTCGTTATGGACACTGAGCTTCGATTTTCGACTGCATGTTTGTTCTCACTGAACCCACTTTTGCAATAAGCGTTTCCGTGAGTTAGTGCAAAAAAAGCCTTCACAAGCTTTCCGAGCATTGGATACTTTGAATCACAAGTTGGTGTCTTTAGTGCAAACACGTCACTCCAATGAGTGACCACATTGGGAGACAGCTCCCAGTCACAAGTTTCACAAACGAGAGAGTTCCACTCATCAGTGAGTGCCGACACTTTGTTGGGGGGAAAACTTGTGGCAGAGCATTCGCGATATATCGCAGCGACCTTGTGGCAAACTCTCCTTCTGCATTAGGCTTTAAAAACCTTAAATAAAACAACACCTTGTTGTGCAGCGGCAACCTAGATATTAGGAACTTGGTACATGCTATGTAGAAAGCCCTTGCCCTGGTGTAAAATGCATTCTTTTGAGTTGGCGTCCAGACCTCCATTTCTATTTCGGTGTCCACACCAACCTCCGGCTTTGCCTTCCAATGGACAGACGATTCCACATCAAGGTCTGTCAACTGCAAGCCAGTCAAGTCAACAAATGACTCCTGGGACTCCTGGCGAAGAAAACTTCCAGGCTCCTGCTTGATGAATGCCACCGTCTCATCTTAAAAGATAAGCAGGAGAGGCTCCTTGCTTTGGAAAAGCATATGGAACTTCTCGAAGATCTGTGCGGCATTTTGTACAAAGACCAACTTTGCTCGCAGTGTGCTGTCGGTGAACGCAGATGCCAGACGACTGTGCCTTGCCGATGATGGTGTTCTCGGCACCCCCGACTTCGAAAAAAAGGTCTTCAGGCGGTCATATAATTTAAGCACACGCTCAATGCTGGGAAATAGCGTCAGCCACCTGGTATTCACATGACGCAAGAACTCAAGCTGTGGCAATCCGAGTTTACACTGCAGTTCCTTCATGTCTGCATGCCTTGTTGCATACTTGAAGTAGTAGTGGACATCAGTTACAATCGATTCCAACTCGCTACAGAAAGAATTTAAGCCAGCAGAGAAAGCATTATGGACCTTATGAAGACTACATTCTCCAGTGTCAATTATGTCAAGGCTGAGCTCCGCTTTCAGTTTGCGTTTTAAGCTCTTCATCACGTAGGGGCTGTCACTGAAGAAACATACCATGTTCTGCTTTGGAAGCTCATTAAGAGTATCTTCAACACAGCAAAACAGTTCATCTGCAGTAGCATGTCCCAAATGAAGTGACTGTAGGTGCTCCACAACTACATTCTGCGTGTTGACAGAGTAGTAGCGAGCAAGTACATCCAACTGCTGCACCTTGGCCTCAGGCACTGGGGTCTCGTCGATCATGATGCTATAGAACACCTCTGGTTGAACAAGCTCTTGAACCACCTTTTCCTTGAAGTACGGTCCAAGGCCATCAGAAATGATGCATGAAACCTTCTTGCGACCACATTGGAAGCCTTTTGCGATTTGCGAATCAGGGAACATGTAAGGGTACGTTAAGGTTGCCACATCCGCTCAAGTGTGTGGAAGAGAATTTGCAACCATGGAGAGAGCAAAATGTGTTTCTGCTCTTGTGACATTCTCTCGCAATGACAGTGATGCCGCATTCTTGTGAAAATCCAGGGTGCCCTGGACCATGAAGTCCTTGGTAAGGACTCCTTCTGCCTTTCGCTTTTTCTTAGCATTTTGGATGTGTTTATGAGAACCAGCATGGCGCATTATTGCTGAGGTACCATTTTGCGAACAGTGCACAGTCGCATTGCAGAGTACACAGAAGCCATCACTGTTTGTCGAGCTTGGTCGACACCAAACAGAAATTTAATCCCAATTGCCGTCCTTCTTGGTCAGCACGTCCACATTAAATTTGGTGCACCGTTCTGAAACAAGTGGAAAGCGCAAATATCAAAACATGATTGCAAATAAAACTATCAAGTATTTACTGTTGCACACTTGCATACCATACTACAATGTATATAAAGAAAATATTTTTTTTATTTCTTTTCGTGGAAGGTGAATGGTGCCCAACTGATTATGATGACTTGGGGAGTGATGCTGAGTTACATTGAGGTGCAGGATGGCAATAGCCTTTCGGGTATCGGTGCCAGCTCAGTTTGAACGAGACAAAATGAGATATAGCTGATCAGGCGCTCATCCCTGCTGGGCGGGCTGCTTTCTTACGTGACAAAAAGCCTACCAGCTACTCTCTACCCACCCCCCCTCCCCCAACCAGATACACCTATACCTGAAACTTGCACGAGTAGTGTGGCTATAGCAAGTTAAGGTGCGTTCACGACAGGAATCGGCAGCGCGGGAGTGTTGTACGGCATTTCTGATGTAACCCCCACTCCTCCACGCTAAAGGAAAGAAACAAAAAAGTGTGTAGCACTGCCAATTAACCAACTCGTTTAAGATCGTGGGTATTGTTTTCGCCAGTGGCCTGACGGCGGGAGACAACACACGACAGCGTGCACATTCGCGCACACAATGATGGTTTTGGTTTCGTTTTGAGAAGACAAATTGAGTTCGAGAACGCATGTGCCTGTGCTCGCGATTCTTCACGGCTACGCGTCCAAATACGGTACGCTACCAAATAACAGGTAAAACTAGTAAAGACCACTTACTTCTGCTCATGTTGATCGCCGAGGTAGCCCACCGGGACCGATGATGATGATGATGATGATTATGATTTTGGGGGTTTAATGGCGCAAGAGCTACGAGGCCATCTGCGCCAAACGATAATAACAATCAGCATGCTTTGGTGAGAGTTTTACCAAAGTGCAACCTAGGATTTGGTAAAGCTATATTTGGTATCAAATGCCAATGCTAGTAAGAAAGTCTACTACCCTGCTAAAAGGGACCATGGGATTCTCCCCCAGCAGGAAGGCCGGATGAAATGGGATTTGTTGTTGAAACAACTCAGGAAAATAAACACGATGGTTGGGCTCCAGAGCGGGACAGGACCACAGGATATGTAAGATTGTAAGAGTATCACCACACTGATCACAAATAGGAGGATCTTCCCCCCAAAGTAGGTACTTATAAGTGATAAAAGAATGCCCAATTCTCAGACGGCACAGCAAGGTTTCATAAAGACGACTCTTGCATGAAGAGCTTTCCCAGGCTCCAAGAACAGGCTTTATAATGTGGAGCTTGTTTTCACACTCCCTGTCCCATTCCAACTGCCAACAACGAAAAAGTGATGACTTTACTAAAGGCTTTATATCCTGATATGGTAAACAGAAAGACGATTGGACAAGGTTTCCCACAGACCCTGCAAGCCTGTCGGCCTTCTCGTTGCCCTCTATGCCAACGTGACTAGGTACCCAACAAAATATTATGCTTTGACAGTCATGTAGAGCAGCGTTGAGTTTACTCTGAATTTGTTGTACAGGCATGTTTTTAGTGTCTTTAACAGAGCAAACTGCAACAATCACACTCTGAGAATCAACGAACAGAACAGTCCTAGTTATTTTCTTATGTAGAATGTGGTCTATTGCCATTGATACTGCATAGAGTACTGCAGTAAAAATGCTGGCAAATGAATTAAGTCGCTGAACTTTAGAGAAGTGTTCTGAATACACAGCGCAGCCAACAAAAGAAGTCTTGGCGCCATCTGTGTAAACATGAAGATAACCATCATACTTGATTTGTACTTCACAAAACTCTTGCAGTATTACAGCATGGGAAATGCCATGTTTGTTAAATTTTGTGAGCGACCAGTCACAGACAACTGGCAGTGTCTTCCAGGGTGGAATACAGTCGTCGACATTTCGAATGAGGCCGACCTGGTCCAATGAAAGATGCAGTGAAGTGCGAAGTTCTTCAATGCGGGAGCTTAATAGTGCCACAATGCTTGGCTTGTTGTTAAAGAGACGGGAAAACCTCCACCTTGTAAGGGAAGAATAAGTAGGGTGTTGAGGGTCAGCCAGAATCTTAAAAGCATACGTTAGGCTAAGATAGGTATGTCGTTTGTTCAGTGATAGCTCATTAGCTTCTGCATATAAACTGGAGACAGGGGATGTTCGGAAAGCACCAGTTGCTAGTCTCAACCTTAGGTGGTGAACTGGGTCCAACATTCTGAGGGCAGATGGCCGGGCCGATCCATACACTGCCGCACCATAGTCAAGACGATATCTTACAAGAGCATTGTACAACCGTAGAATACATTTTCTGTCAGAACCCATTTTAGTTTTTAAAGCTTTCAGGTGTGAAATAAAATTAAGCTTTTTATCAAATATCACACCAAGAAATCTATGCTCTTTCCTGACAGGTACAGGGTTTCCATTTAGTTTTAGTGATGGGTCCAATGACAGCCCACGACGCAAAGAAAAGGGCACACAGACTGTTTTGGATGCAGAGAACCGAAACCCGTTCTCGTCAGCCCACTTGGAAAGTTTGTTTATGGCTATCTGCAACTGGCGCTCACAGCTAGAAAGGTTACAAGAGGAAGACGAGATCTGTATATCATCAGCGTAAATAGAATATGAAACAGAAGGAAGTAGCAGTCGCGCAATTGAATTCATTTTTAGCACAAATAAATTTACGCTCAAGACTCCTCCTTGAGGGACTCCATTTTCTTGCACGTAGGAATCAGATAGGTTGGAGCCAAGACGAACTTGAAAAGTCCTGTTTGTTAGATATTCCCTTATGCATTGCAGCATACGGCCACGGATATTACATGCATACAGATCTTGAAGAATCCCATGTCTCCACGCTGTATCATATGCCTTTTCCAAATCGAAAAAAACTGCGACACAGTGCTGCCGGTTTACAAATGCCTCACGTATAACAGTTTCCAAACGTACCAAGTGATCGAGAGTAGAACGACCTCGGCGGAATCCACACTGGTTGTTATCAAAGGCCCTCTGTTGTTCCAATACATAAACCAGTCGCCTGTTTATCAGCCTTTCAAATGTTTTTCTGAGGCAGCTCGTTAGTGCCATTGGGCGGTAACTTGATGGCTGTGAAGGATCTTTATTAGGTTTTAGAAAGGGAATAATATATGCATACCTCCAAGTCTGAGGAAAACAAGCCTTTTCCCATAAGAAATTTAAAAAAAAGAAGGTTTTCAAGGGATTCCGTGGACAGGTTACGAAGCATTTCATAGTGAAGCCCATCGGGCCCAGGAGCAGATAGCTTTTTTACATTAAGGGCCATCTCAAGTTCATATCGCGTAAATGGCCGATTATAAGAGGCTGCCTTTCCTCCAGTTACGACTAGCTTTTGTTGCTCCGCACGGGCTTTAAACTGTGCGAAGTTAGCACTGTAGTTGGCTGAGCTGGATGAATTATAAAAATGTTCTCCGAGGACGTAAGCTATGTCTTTTAATGACGAACAAGGAGCAATAAACGTTGGGATGGCAAAGCACCTATAATCCCCATTTACTTTCCTATATCTGTCCCAGGCCTCTTTGGCAGGGACAAAACTAGTTAGAGAAGACAGGTACTTCATCCAAGACTTCCGTTTTGCCCGCTTCCTAGTCCAACGAGCCTTGGCTTTTCGGCGTTTAAACTCCACAAGGTTGTGCGAAGTGGGATATCTACGAAATCTTTCCCAAGCCTTGTCTTGATCTGCCAGGGTTGTGGCACACTCCTTGTTCCACGAAGGTTTACATTTTTTTCGCACATTACCAGAAGTTTGTGGAACAGAGCGCTGAGCAGCCCTTAGTATCTGCTCAGTAACATGAAGTGTAGCGTTCTCGGGTGACAAAGAAGAAAGGATCGAAGGATCTAAAGTGGAGTGAAGATTAAAAAGTGTCCAGTCAGCCTTTTCTAATTTCCACCTAGGGGGACGCTTTAAAAGATTAGGCAATGGAACAGTACTTTCTAAAACAATAGGATAGTGATCACTTCCAAAAGGGTTATGGAGAACCTTCCATGAAAAGCCAGGAAGTATTGAAGGTGAAGCGATAGAAAGATCAATAGATGTGAATGAGTTGTGTGCTGCACTAAAAAAAGTTGGTTCTTTCCCGTTAAGAAGACACAGCCCAGAAGACAATAAAAGACGTTCAATAACACCACCCCGGGAGTCTTGACGGGTACTGCTCACATGGGATGATGAGCGTTAAAATCACCCAAAATTGAAAACGGTTGAGGAAGCTGTCCTACAAGTCCCTGTAGCTCTTGAAGATTGAAAGGAATATTTGGTGGTAAGTATAAAGAAACAAGCGTTACAAGGCGGTCCACGAGGAGACGCACTGCAACAGCTTCCAGAGGTGTGCGGAGTGGAACTTGAGAGCAAGCGACTCCACTCTGCACAACTACTGCAACGCCACCAGAAGGACTGGAAGCGGGACGGTCTTTCCTAAAAACCTGATGACGTCTTAAAATGTTAAAAGAATTAGAGTGAAGATGGGTTTCTTGCAAGGCAAGAGCGATGGGTCGAAGCGCATCCATAAAATGATTGACATCATCAATATTTCTTAAAATACCGCGACGTTCCATTGCATTAAATGTAACTTTGTCATCTATTAAAAAAGTGAAAGCCGTTTACAACTCCCTGTAACGCCGAATTAGAGCGCAGCTCTTGAGGAGGAGGGGGAAAGGGTACTGGGGGGGTTCAACTGACCAGGGGGGGTCACGTGACCTGGGGGTCACGTGACGATGACAATGCCGACATGTCATCACTGACGTCACTGATGACGTCATCAGTGACGATGACGATGCGGATACCGATGACGTCATTAGTGACGTCACTGATGA